CCTTTCTGTATCCCTGGTTCTCTAATACTCTCCAGACTGTAAGTGCGTGATATATTGACTCCTTGAAGACTGAGAGCACCAGCAAACGTCAGCGCAGCTCTTCTCTCGTCCGTATCTATCACGTCGTACTTGTTGGATTATCTGCTCCCTTTACCCTTATCCCGTCTGCTTTGAAGGTCGGCCCAGAGCGAGGGGCGTCTTGTACGTGCTCTGGGAGGATCTTAAGAGGGAGAACGTTTGGCTCGAAACCAGCCTCAATAGCTCTACTATAGATACGATTGACCGTACGAGGATGAACACCAGTAAGTTCAGAGATCTGTGATGTAGACTTGCCAACAGAAGGTGACTTTAACGCCACAATTAAGGTGCGGGTGTAAGGATTAGTATTAGGAGACATTGTAACGATAGATACAGACAAATCGTACAGCTACTCAGCTCAAAGGTGGGAGTTGCGCCAAGAAGAGTTATGCCGAAGCGCCGAGATTAGCGTGGGACAAAACTTTTGTGAGGCACCTCCGTACCTACTAGGTATATAAATAAATAGAATAAATAGAGTACATAATTTATTACTTAGCTCTTAGTAGCTAAAGCCCTAGCATCTCTAAATACTGAAACTACTAAGTAATTTTATTTTTAGTTAAATTTTTACTTCATTTAATAGCTTAAACTTAATAAGCACCTCTTAAGAGGTTATATAATAACTACTTAACTACTACTACTTCTTCTTATTATTACTATTAAGTTTTTTATTTATTTAAGCTTATTATATACTATCTTGATAAGTAGTAGCTTATTAGAGTAGTATAATAACTTTATCTATATAGTATTAATTAGAAGTATAATTATTTTACCTCCTATAACGTGGTTCATAAGCGAGTTGGTCACCTAAGCGAGTTAGTCACTCCCCACTAGCGCGTTAACGTTAACACGTTATTATAGTCTTTTATTATAGTTAATAAACTATTACAATATACTAAATTAATTAGTAGAATTACTACTATTACTTACACTATCTATTGTAGTGGTGTGGTGTGGAACTGCGATGTCTTCTCAGTAGAGGGAACAGTGTAACGGGCTGAACGCCCTTCGCCTCCCATACTCGTCTACGACCTCGTTTACTCCACCTGCCCGGCCCGATTGTTACCCTAGCAACCAGCATTGTATATAGATAGCTACGTAGCCGAGAGCTTAGCTCTCTATCGAATACAATCTTGTTACCTTGGCCTGTCCGATCGTGCTCCCGAGCTTAAGACTACCCTCCGGGGTCGAGCCCCTTACAAACAGAACTATAGGTTCTTCCCCTTCCCATAGCCTATGGGAGAGGGGAGAGGGAGTAAAATATATGTAGTTGGTTCTTTAAGCAAGAGATTTTTTCTAAGAGATATTGTTAATTAATTTTTCCTACTAACTTAACTATTAATTTATATTCCTTTTTAAAGGTAAGTGTAACGGCGCAGGTAAGGCAGGTCGGATCTGTTTCGGTCGTAGGATCACTCAGAGGCATATGGGAGTGCGTGGGATCACAAAGAGCCTAGATTCAACAAGCCACCTATAGGCCTTGTACGAAAGGATATCAAAAGTCTACAGAGCTAGCTACAGGGAGTGTCTCAATATATACCTATCCTAGTCGGGTCCGAATTCGGATCCGACCTCGGGCGAATGGCTGATGAAGGGCGGCAGGTACTTCCTCCGATCCGGCTCTGGGATTGGCTCAATACTTGGCGAAGTTGTAACATCGTTACAGTAGTAGTAGGTTATAATAGTAGTAGAGTAGTAGTAGTAGGTAACTTATATAAGCTTCTTTCTAATATATAGAATATTACTCCTTTTATAATATATCTTTTCTACTACTTATGCTATTAACTTAGAAGCCTTATTATATTAGTAAGACTCGCTATAGCGAAGCGCGGACGTAATTGCGCTGTTGTATAGTGTAGGTGCATTAGAGAATTTTAATTAATCTATGCGCACGTAATATTACTTAGCGTGTTAATTGCGTTTTATTATAGCTAGCACTTAGAATAAGCTTTTTACGCCTATTGTTAGCGCGCAAAATTTAATAAAAACACTAATAATAATCCCTAAATTAATACACAAAAGGCCGCGGCCAACAGCGTAATATATACATGTGTATGAAAGGAAATCAAGACAGAGATTAGCTAACGTGCTTGGCTCGATATTAAAAAATCGTGGATTCGGGATATATGTATATGTACTTGGGTGTGGTTGGCTTGGCTTGCTGGATATGCATCGCTGAGACCAAGACCCTGATGAATGAACGAGGAAAAGTAAAAGTTTGTGCACGGTGGGAGTTGGAACTTTGCCTACTACCCTCACAGTGCATATGTATGTACGTGTCGTTATTTCTGCGTACTAGGAAACGCTACTGTAAGTAAGATGCGCGCTAGGATAGTTGGTTAGGTAGTTGGACGTGTGAAGGTTGGGTGGTTGGTCTTTTTTTTTCTTTTCTTTCGTGTACATATGTACAGATATGCAGTGCGAGGGTAAAGTACAGTTTGCTTGGTAGGGTATGGTTATTTTGCAGTACTTGGCGTTATTCCATTGGCTATTGCTTTAGTAGGGGGCTGAGATCAGCTTGTGGATGTATGGGTTTATGTGTGGTTTAGAAAGGAGTTGTGTGGAACTTTTAGTCTGGGGGTTGGAATTGATGCTTGGGAGTCATTGTCGAGGCTGTTTCCAGGCGCTCTGACTTGGTTGAATGGTGGGGGAGGGGGTTTATTAATTGGTTAGTGTAGGATGTGGCTGTTCTTCGATGGGTAAATGAAAATAGGTATTTCAACGAGTGGGTGTCGGTGGATAGTGGATAATATTTTATGCTTTGTACAAGTATCGAAGCAAGTGTTGTTTACTAGAGTCTACTCCAGATTGTCTAGTTATCTTTCAACTGGATTAGGATACTCTGTTTAGGGATTAACATGGTTACAACCTTTTCATATACTAACATTAATTAGTCAAAACAGTAAATAATAAGATGGCAAGTATGCATCAGGAAATGGGATGCCTGCATCAGGAAATGGTTGCACCTCATTTGGGTAATCCGAGTTTTGGCTTACTAAGTTTCGTAAGACTACCTAAACAAGTAATCAACTTCGACTCCTAACCAGAATAGGCTATCTCTCATCTGTCATCTTTTTCCCCTTTGCCAACTATCCCTCTCTATTCTCAGCTTCCCGTACCGGAGACTGTGGCCACATTCAGCTCTACCTGCCCCTCAACAAATTTAAGTGAGATTATCGTTCCACGTCAGCATCCTCCTCTATACCCACACACGACACTGCTTCTACTCCGCGGCTGTTACAGACATCCCACCCAGGCCTGGGTCCATAGCTCTTCTTTCAGTCCCAACAGTCTCATCTGATGAAAGAGGAGATATTCTTGCTTCTTTACTAGCTATCGGTTTCCGAACTCATCACCGTCTTATTTCTGTATTTAGTGTTACATTTGTCTTTCTTTACACGTAAGGTACACTCAACACTGCTTTTTTCCTTCCACTGTACTGTCAAAACTAAGAAGTACGCCTAACTGAACTTTTGGTTACATGGCCCGGAACAGGACACCAACTGAGCGCCTTCGTGTCCTGACATGGCAGTTTGCCCCGGCTATCGGATTAACGAAACTAGTAAAGAGGCGCATTGATTTGGCAATTCATTTCGAGGCAAATATCGTGAGCCGAGCGTTGCGGATGATAGACCAGAAGCTGAGGCCTAGGGCTACTTTCAGCCAACCTCGCTTGGATACTATGATGGCTCAAGGTACGACCATAGCCTCAACCAGCCCCTGAGCAACCAACGTAACTCATAGTCTAATTAGATAGCGGCATGAAATGCAGCAGACCGGTTTCGATATATTGAGGATCAGCCTCATTTCATGCAAGCCGATGTGCGAAGCAAGCTGATAGGTTGGCTGTCAAGGACGTCCTCTCAACCATACACTCCTTCATGGGTTTACGTTGTAGCGAAGCCTATGTACGCGTAAACCCAGCCAATAGTAGCTGTGAGGAGGCTCAACAATTGGCCAGTTCGAATTTAATGAGGCATTAGAATTGCCATAATCTGATACCTTGCCTCCTTCCGGTCAACAAGCGTGCAGCTGGTATCATGCCACACTCTGAACATGGAACTTGTCTCCGCTCTGATTTCATGAAATAGGGGCGTCGTTCATGCAGAATCTGCATCTATCGGCAAGCCCCTCTGGCAAAGGTATATAAACGAAGGAGAAGGTCTTCAGAAGAGTACCAACCTTCTTTACCCAACGTACTAAAGGACAATCTTATTAAACTTCAAAATGCATTTTGCGAATTCTATTTCTTCTAATCTTTGTCAAAATAAATCTTCTTTATCTTTTGTGCCATATGACCCGAATCTCCAGAGAAAAACTAGGAAGCGGAAGGCGAGGAGTGACGAAGACGAATCGAAGTTAAGCGGAAAGAAATCGACGCGAAATGGTGCGGGATCCAAGACCAACACTATCCCTTCAACACAGACTCTTGAGCCAGCCACTCAGACTTTGAACTCATACTCTGAACCTGTTGACGACGAAGGTACGGTGGAACGCCTCTTGCAATATAGAATGTCAACTAACTCGAGATTAACACCATAGTCATTGAAATCAGTCACCTGGCATTCTATCATGATGAACGCGAACGTGAAGACAAAGATAAAGCCTCTAGCAACCTAGAAAATCAAATTCTTGCAGTTGTCGAAGGGAAGAATGCAGTAGTAAACTCTTTCGCCACTAACATGATCTTAAGTAAGTTACTTAGAAGTCAAATTAGTTTTTATGATAACTGACACAAGAATGTACAGTTACGGCCGGAGAGACTAGATCTGGTTACCAGCCCCACGACAACGGAGATAGTCAACAGATAATACTGGAAGATTTAATGGCCACTTGCACATCCGCCACATGTACCGATGATATATTTAGCCGTAGTAAGTCTTGATCAGAAATTGCAGTACAACGCCATCTGATCAAACACACAGACGGTGACATGCCAACTCCTACTAGTTGTAGTAGTGTAGCGACGAGCACGCCATTGGAATTAGGGGGGCAGCCGTACTCGTCTGATGCCATACCAGTTTGTTCATCAAAAACTCCAGACAGAGGAGAATTATCGAATCAACTACCGTCGGACGTATGTGTGTCAGGTTTCCCGCGCGACCGCGAAGACGAAGACATCATCTCCAATGATACAACAACTTTCGACGTGGTCAACCGTGATGGAGATGCGGCGAACTCAGTGAACAATAGTGAGGAACTATGTGAACCTGTAGCCAGATCGATTTTCCTCTCGAACTCAGTAAATCAGGATGTAATTTCTGAGTCGATAGCGAAAGAACACCACGAGATACACGATTCCATTAATGTTGCCGGTAGTCCCAGGGCAAATTCAGAACCATTCAGCGACGATGAAGGAGATCGACACGAAGTCGAGCAAATCATAGCTCATTTTCAGCATGATGATGACTCGATACGCTATTTCGTTATTTGGAGAGGGTGGCCTATAGAGAAAAGCACGTGGGAGCCTGCTGAAAACTTAAGAGACTGTCCAGAGCCTGTCCAGAGATACTGGGCTTTTAAGGGGAAGTACAATTCAAGCAACAATGCAACTACCGCTGGAGATCACATGAGTTCATTTGGCGACCAGATACCTGAGGACGATAGAGATCGACACGAAATCAAGAAGATCTTGGATCATGATGAGCACAATGGCTTGCTACGCTGGCTTGTGCTATGGTCCGACGAGTCAACAACGTGGGAATCTGCTAGTAATCTCGATAATTGTCGATGGGTTATCGAACAGTACTGGGGGCGTATATCACAGCAAAAGCGTGAGAGCTTCTCAGATGAAGAAAAGAATGAGGGTACTAAACATCGGGCTAAGAAGAGAAGAAAGAGTAGACAATGCAGTCTCTGCAAAAAGAAAGGACATGACAAACGAAACTGTTCTCCCAATTCAGTCTGTGCTAGCGACTAGGGGTTTTTGACTATCGATTTCCAGCAAATAGTAGCTGGTCGCTCGAGGCTTCAGACATAGATAGAAGGGCTCAATTTAGACTTTTGGCACTAGATTATATGACTAACTGCAAAGATAGCTGTTTCTAAATTCTGTTAGACATGAGAGCTTGATGCATTGGAAACTCAGTGGTCCTTCTATCATGTGGTTACTCTTGCATCCCAATGTTCTCACAGTTGACATAGTGAAGTACAGATTGTGACTACTGCCACACATGCGAATTTACCCCGTCTTCTATGAGAAACTTCTAAACCCAGGAATACCAGGCGCTAAGCCATCAAGATACACAGAGTCCAGCGACGACATACATAGGGACGAGGCAATTAATGACCTAAGGAGATTTGAACGTCAGCGGAGATACTTAGTCAAATGGCAGAGATAGCCCAACAGCCGCAACACTTAACAAATAGAAGAAGATCCTACGAACTGCAAGTCACTAGTACGTGAGTACCACTAGGATACATCCGAGAAAGATAGGACCAGATTCTCGAAGCAAAGGAAGATCGAAAGAATTAACTCGTAACTAGCCCAGATCAGCCGATGATCAGGATAGCGTTAGTTCGATAGCAGGGAGGCCTATACCAGGGCTTGAACTCCCCTCAGCTTGCGCTTTCGCACGGTCCTGAAGATCCGAGAAAGCAAGATCTTGACAGGTGTATGAGCGCTCGCGATCTTTTAGCTCTAAAAGCGCCACCTTACTTTGAGCAAGGCGCAACTTTAGACGAGCAATTTGCAACTCGATTTCGCGACGCTCACGCTCAACTCTCTCCCAATCTTGCTCGGAAGTAAGCAAACTACACTCAGCAGTTGTGCAAATACAGCTAGCACAACGACCAGAGTTCATCTCAACGAAACAACGAAGTTCCTCCTGTTTGCAACGCTTACAACGAAAGTCCATTTCCAGAGATTCGTGGTCTAATTAAGCACGCCGGGTACGAAGATCTGCTGTTGACTTCTGGGAACGATTGAGACGGGAAGACAGGACCTTGGTCACGGTTGGGAAAGTTGAAGGAAGCAAGCAGTGACATTGGACCAGTACTGGTCGACCTTTTATGCAAAACACGCCGCGACGCGCGGCAGGGTAAGACGATGCTCCAGGATGTTGAGACGATAACCCTGGAAGGGGGTAATGTTACAAGGAAAAAGTGGAAGAATTCCCTGGCTGACAACGAGTGGTCGAAGGCTCTCACTCAGGATGCAGGCTAGAAGGTGGTAATCGCTGTGGAGCCACACTGTGACCAAAATAACCGGCAATCAGGAATACCCTAATCTTTGCACTAACAACTACGTACCTTTAAGAGTGATTTATAATCTTTCTAAGCGCCTTATCATACTCAAAGACACTAACGAGAACTTTCTCTTATTTTTGTTGAAGTATAGTGATTAGCGATTACGGCTTCACCTCTACAAGGAGCATCCCAAAAGTCCAGTCATCCTAAAATTGAGGATTAACCAATCATATCAGTTGTTCTACAGCAGACTTCTCGCGCTAAGCTATGCACGGAAGGTGGGGCTGTTCAAAATCGCTGCGCAGCTCCGTGGAAGGGTGAAGCCGCAATCGCTAATCACTGTAACGTAATTAACGTCCATCCCTAGAGTAAGTCACGAGACGCACCCCGTCGCGAGACGAACACCAGGTACTTTGAAATCAAGCATTCATAATCTTCCAAGCGCGTGTGATCAATCTGCAATATTCTATTAATAGCTTCTTAGCCTACTTTAGCCTACTTATATACTATTTAATATAAAAATTACGGCATCGTTGACGCCTGCACGCCGTGCGTAGTCAAGTTTTCGATTGTGCCAAAATCCAAGTCTATGCTGTACAGTATGGCGCTTGACCCATAAGACCCTATGAAAGTTATGAACTGACTCATCTAGACTTCCGAATGTTAAGAGAGGTATGAGAAGTCACCACTAGCCTCGTGGCGACTGTCGCGCGCTTGTTCATACCTAATTGCCACCCTGGTCGGTACTTGAGATCGAAGCCGCCTCCTAATGCGGTTAGTGCAGAACCGGCCCCACACTTACAATACGAGTAACTAGCGTGTAATTTACTTCAAGCTGCCAAGAAGGTGGCTATTGTGGCTGTGCAGCTTACGAATTGGATAACTACGTGTTGAAGCATTAAATACTTAGAATAGATAATTGTATCTTTGTGCTTATTTCTCAAGGTTCTCTAAATCACTTTCAATGATTGATACACTCTCATACACTTGCTGTTTCCAGTCTGCGCACGCCGCTCAGTTCTTATCCCACGCTCACCCTGTCTCGCTTAGCGGGAGCTTAAAGACACACAATTGCCACCAGGCCAAAACCCTGCCATTAGTGATAACCGCGATGGAATATCACCAGAGGCAAACCTCGTCGTCAGTGTTAACAGGACTAATTAATTAGAACCAATCTACATAAATTTTTTTCCAATTATTGCACTCGTGGTTAACCTTATAAGTCGTTCTATTTGCTATAGAAGTGGTTGTCTTCACTTTGGTTAAACTCCTGTAACTACTAGTCTCCACTAACATTGTTAGATAGTCGCAAAGCTTAGCTCTGCAAGTGGCAGGTATTGCAATAGCCTTCCTCTGTATCGTGTGTCTCGCAAAGGCTATGCCTTTGACAATCAAGAATACAAATGCTCTGCCAATACGAATAGCATCTACGACAAAAAAAGCATTCTTTCATGGCAGGAGGATAATACCTAGGCAGTTCACCTGTCATGACACGTGTGTCTGCGATTCGGTTCTCCCAGTTACCATCTTCCATGTCTTGCCAATTTTCCAGTCTATTAAGTTCATCGAGTTGCTTTTCAGGAGACCACGTCCGTACTACCCGTAATCGTTGTCTGTTGGACATGTATTTCAACAACTCTGCTTTTAATTCATAAGGCAGCATCTCCAATGCATTCGATACGATGCTAACATCAATATCTTCGGAGAGCTTGCGTCTAAACCTGGAGTCATCAATTGTCCTCCAGAGCCGAGCGAGATTATGCGGTTCAATATCACCGATATACGCTCTGAAAGCAGGGACATCGAGTGTGCTGACTCGATCGACTTCCAACTGAAGTCTTCTAAGGATAAGCAAGATTGTGTTCATGGTAGCTATAAGTCTGTGGTAACGATACCTAATTGCGAAAAAAAGGAGATATAATTATTAGATTGACGGTTGAGTATAAAGAAAAAGATTCTATTTAATTGTGGTTTGCTGAAACGGGCTTTTCAGTATTGGGCTCCTTTCGTCTCTACCAAATGTTTAGGGGGTTCTCAATCGGGCTGTGTACAGGATCTAGAGAACGAATACATAATCCTAAAATAGCAGGTAAGCGCAAGGGATGTGGACAGCATGGGAGATTGAGAGCGGACCCACGCAATAGAAGACGAGCCTTTAAATCGTTAAGATTAAAGCGATGCTGCATGAGTAACTACTCGAGAATCGCAAGCCAGGCATTGATGCTTTCAGCTCACATGTGGTGCTAAATCTAATACAAGCAGTAATAGGCATCATAAGCTTAGCGCAGGGCGTCAGGTATGCTGTTTACTGCTTCCATCACATTTCATATCTGGCCTACTCCAGACATGCAGAGTCCATCCAGGCCGCGTAGCAAAGGCTGACAATAACATGACTAAGATCGAATGAGACTGAGACAATCGAGCTAAATTACTCGAGTGACAATTCGTGCAGAAATATCACAGCAACCATGGACTAGTGCCCTATCACTGCATCATGACAGACCATGCCATTGTATATACATATATGTCATCCATACTTTATGCGCAGCTAGGGTTTATATCCACTGTTCGTAAGAGGCCCTGTTCAACCAACTTTAAACACATTTAGTCTACATCAGTCAACACCCCAACATGCCCTCAGAGATGACTGCTCCCACACAATCACTTTTCGCTGTTCCAGATCATATCGACGAAGCAGCAAAGCGCGAACCAGATGCGATTTGGGCGCTGATACCGCGATCCAACACAAGTCTCAAACTCGGTTGTTATCAATACAAGTACGCGGAACTGGCAAGGGCAGTTGACGATCTCGAATGGTGGATAGAGAAGGAAGTGGGAATCCCTGGCCATATAGGCCAGACGATCGGTTACATGGGGTCAGTCCACCCATTATTGCATCGTATATGTAGTTTCCGCTAACAACCAAGGCAGTGTGAACGATCTCAACTATCTTCTCGTGCACGCCGCGACGCTAAAAGTTGGCTATGTTCCGCTTTTTGTCTCCCCACGAAACTCGATCGACGGCTAAACATCTATCCTATAAGAAACGAATTGCCGGTTTTTCTTAACTGGAGCAGAGATATTGACGCAGGTCAATGCAATCAAGGAGACACTGCCTCATCTAAGAGTCTTCACCGTGCCGTCACCTAGAGAAGGAAAACTCCTAAGCCCTATGGGTTCTGTGATTCCTTACGCCAGTCGACATAACCGCAACGGTGCAGCACCTAGCATCATCCTTTATACGTCTGGATATACTAATAAGTAACTTCGTGCGGTAAACCGTATTCTTCACTACATCTAATAAATGTACTAGGACTTCCGAAGCCTGTTCGCTTGACAGTCCAAGGCCTAAATTTGATATGCAACTAGGCCTCGCTCGAGGAAGAGGATGGCCTTGAACACGTGAACCGGCTGTTTCTCACGAATAGGAGGCCAATGCTCGCCGCTGTACCGTTTCTCCACGCCATAGGAATCGTCGTGGGACTTCGATCCCTCGTGTGCAGGGGCACAATCGTTGCACCCCCTTCAGGCAAGGCAATGGCTGCTGATTTGGTCATTGACGCGATCAAGGGCATCAAACCATCCACTGGCGTTTTCACACCATCCATTCTCGAAGACGTGTCTGCAACCGAGGCAGGAATGAAAGCACTAGGCACGCTACAAAATGTCTTTTTTTGGCGGTGTGCCGCTCGCAAACGCGAACGGTGACATGATCAGTAAGGTGACGAAGCTTCAGATGATGATCGGCAGTGACTTTATGCTCGCTGTTCGCTGGGCAAGCAGGTGACCGCATCTTTGCCACCTCTTTGCAGACTGTCAGCCTTGGCGCAGGAGAGGGCAACGTTCTCTGCGCCATCGCGAACCCTTTGGACGTGAAGAGGGTGCTTCGTCTCGATGCTGAGGCGACGTATGTGGGTCTGGAAGACGACCAGGATGCAGTAGTGCAGGTGGACGTCACAGAATTCACGATTGCGTGTGTAGTGTAGATGTGGTATGGGTGGATTTATAGAGAACGCTGTCGATAAAGCTCGATTCCTTTGTAAATCAACTCCGCCTTCTTATACTTGCCTTAACTAGCTGTCACCAAAGCTAAGTTTCCCATAGTCTCTAGTGAATTGGTCGCTCGTGCGCGAGGTTGTTCTCCTTATCGTGGGGATGAAGTCTACTTGCACAGTTCAATAACGCTGTACAGCAAAAGTGTTGGCTATATAGCAGATAGGAATAATCAAAGATTAGAACCAGCTAGCTACCGCACCTAATCTCGATTTTTATCGTCTGCAAAACAAAACCTAGCTTAGGTAGCTCGAGATACGTGCCAGCGGATGTTTTCCTCTAAACAAATGCGCTATACCTCTCATACTCCTGGCTGATATCCGTTCTTAAAGGCCATCTTCTGATTGAAGGGATCAGAGCTGTAGCAAAACCATCTCTAACAGCAGAATCGAGTAGCTTTAAGTCTCTGTCTTTGGGTTTTGTATCCATCTCTTCATGTTCCTTCCGACTGTGCGCCCAGACTTTTCTCACGGTATTCCAATAACGATCCGGCTCTACTTTTGCATGGCTAACGTGTTCAGAATGTTCAAAGATAGCCTCTATCAAACATCCATTACGCTTGATTAATTCACTTGCATGCTCATATATGTCTTGCCATGCAACTAGGGTATCTCTCTTCGAATAAAGATAGCATCTGGGAACTGTGAGGGAGAACAGATCTGGGTCAAGAAGCTCTCTCCTCGAGCGAGAAACAAGGTTGTTCTCGTACCCTTTGAAAACGTGGTACACAGCCCATACTAGTCCTAGCACAACGATCGCTATCAATTTCGCGAATTTCCTGAGGATGGGCGTCGGAGGGAATGATCTTGCTAGGGCGGAGCAGAGCCGCAAGAAGCGTGGGTGACCAGGTGTGCTATCCATGCATATCGCTGAAATAGGGAGTTGCGAACCAGTAACAGCACGATATGCTATTGCAAGTTCGCAACCTTTGTTGGCACCTCCTTCTGAGAACAAATGCAGCAAGATACCGCCTTTGCGTGATTGGGGCATCCCATAAAGATTCAAGATGTAATTGATTGCTGGGAGAAGGCGCTCTCGTTTCCCTGCTGGACTTCTCCAGATAATATCCTTTGCTGAAGTGGTGATAACGAGGATTCGAGATGTTGGAAAAATGGTGGCGTATTTTGAGATGTATTTGGAAATATGCTGGCCATGGGCACCGGTCCATGCCATGAGCATGATAAGACATGGTGCTGAGCTGTCTTCTGATGGATTCGAAGTAGAAGGGCAGATATGCTCCCAGATCGCTGGAGCAATGGCGCGACAACCTGGTATTAAGTTGTGTGGTACATCCACTTTTGCTGTCCCAGTCTTGGTTGGAGCTTCGGAACGTGCGAAGCGTTTAAGAAAGGTCAGAATGAAAGGCAGCATCTCTGACTAGAACGACAGCAGAGTACTCTCAAACTGATAAAAGATACAGCTCTTCCTATGAGTAAGGCAACCCTTATCTGTATTGCGAGGGACTGTTCCTTCTAAGAACGTGCAGAGCCATGATCGCCGAGTTTGAAATGGCACGAAATTTGACTAAGCTTTGTTATGCACCATCATCTCATGATGCAACCTAGCCAATATGCGGAATTAACTAACTACTCCGTATGCATCCCCAGTAGTAGCTTTGTTAGTGCTTATGACAACCTAGTTTGTCTGTTTCCCATTTCATCTACAGTCGCTAGCGATTGCGGCTTCACCCTTGTAGGCAGCATTCCAAAAGTCCAGTCATTAGAAGATCGAGGATTAACCAATCATACCGATAGTTCTATTGCTGACTTCTTGTACTAAGCTACATAAGGAAGGTGGGGCTGCTCAAATCCGTTGCGCAGCTGTGCGTAAGGGTGAAGCCTCAATCGCTAACGACTGTATCTTAAACATTGCTCGTATTTCTAGATGATGAAAATGTTCATTTTTTCACTCACGCTAGAACGTGAATGGTAAACACGATAATCGCAGGCATAGTTCGCTACAAATCAGCCCCACCCTTACGAACTGTCTTTGCAGTACTAGCACGAGGCCATTAAAAACAGCAATGGTAGAAAGATAGACTTATATTTCGTATCTTATATATGCTCTTGCAGAAGAGATGGTTCGTTTTGTGCCATGGTACCATGTGATATATAAAGTACGGACGTCAACTCGTCGTATGTCTAGTTTACGTAAGACGAACAACCAAATATCAAGACTGATGACCTACAATAGTTCAGTAAAGCTACAGTCCTCTGCAGTCTTTCGGCTATTCCATTGCTGCTAGCTGATCACAAGTGGTTTAGGATCAGTGGTACGACATAAGGCTGACAGTTACATCCCAGCCTCGGATCATGGCTCTTCGCTTAAAACCATACCTACCCAAGTCTCGTCCGCAACTTGATCCCCTAAGAGAAGCACCCATATTTGCTGAGCTAAGAGCGGCTACAGACCCGTTCTAGACCGCGCGGTGCAGGTCGGTGCTCTCACCCACACGGCTTGCACTGCCCGAGACACTGTAAATCTCGCTAAAAGGTATGTACAGTAGCCGTCGTAGGCTGGCTATCGAAAAGCGTGCTTCACCATAGCCATGTTGCGACTAAGCCTTTCCTAGGACCATTGACCCACCACATTGATTACCGTATCTCAACACACCCTCAAAACCGAGGGTCACATGTGTGATACAGTGGAGGAGGCTCAAAAGGGCCCCTGCTGGACATGATGCATTGATGAGGCGATTTCTGGCTTCTTAACAGTCTCAGCTGCGCAGCGGCTGTAAAATAAGAGGCAGATTTGGGCCCGTCGATTATATCGATGCGCCGAAATGAGCTCCTAGATGTCGCTCAATTGGACGCGGTGCTCATGCCGTCACGCGCTAGACAATATATATTGAACCCTGAAAACCATCTTGCATGCTCCTTATTCAACAAGAATTTGTTCATCACCTGCAATCAGTTCTTGTAGTATTGAAGCAATAGCGGCAATGAACCTAGCATCACTTGATCCTGGAAAAGTCGCAACTGCTCGCAGACAATTACAAGGAAACTTCAATGGAACTACATTGTTGGCAGTTTTCCTTTTCCAAGATCTGCCAGAAATGCAAGCGGCTATCGATATAATTGCTGATGGAACTGTTTTTTTACGGAGTTCTTTCGTGAGCATCCGTATTGAACGGTGATCGACTGGGCAACCGCCGAAAAGATTCTACAGCCTGTTTCCTTCCTAGATGATCTCATGAATGCCTACAAATATAGCATTCCCGATCTGCCTCCGTTTGGGGAAGGTAAATCAAAGGACAAGCTATATCTGGAAAACAGACTTGAAAATGATTTTGAAATGGTTAGTGCTGTGCTTTCTGCATGTCGTAGCGATGGAGCGGACGTACTGATCCGGAGATCAGCAGCTAATCCAGAGATTAGTTATTGGGAAACGTTGGGCCGTTTTCAGGAAACGACTAACGTCCGTCCCTGCGGGTCGAACATCCCCCCGCGACGAACCACGAATGTTGTTCAACCATGTTATACCCACCTTGCACAATCGTATAGGGTCAATTTGATAAGGTTGTATTCTTTGCCTTTATCTCTACCTAGTTCAAGCTCTATATAGTAAAATTACAGCGTTGTAGCTTGTGTTCTTAAGCTTCTTATCTTTAGCATAGAAGGTGCAATGTTAAAACACCCCTGCTCTCTCTTAAGTAACACTATCGCTTAATCCTTCGGGGCCGTTATGGGGTACTTAAATAGCGGTATAATATAGTCTCGCTCTTAGAAACGTGTGCAGCCCTAATCTAAGTGCTCTCCGAGTTGCTCCGGTGCGACGTGCCACTTCATTAGACTGAGCGAACAGACTTGGCGTGCTGACACAGCCAGTATTAAAAGCTTAGCGGTCTGCAATGTACACCTACGCTATGCCAAAACGGCTTAAGCTGTGGCGCAAAGCTCTAGAGGCTTCGTCTAACCACTATTTACGTGTATGGTCACCTGCTGCCTGTTCTTAGAAATCGGCTAGATATAGACATCACGGCATTAATATTGTATACATGTGTCAGATCGTGAGGGGTAGTCAAGGATAGTAGACTGTGATAAATATATGTGATAATGATGGATGGAATTGATGATGTCCTCTTAGAGACGCGCTCGCGCGTCCCCTTAAAGGGGTCTATTTGCTTATTCTAATCTTAGCCACCGCGGCTCCAGCTTAAGTAGGGATTTTTCTTAGCAGCCAGCCTAATTAGCTGTATGCCTGGCCCCTCACTGGGGATTTTAGTATCAAGACAACTATTGCTCTTATCTAACACACCCCCTTAGCTTAGAGTCACCTTAGGTCTCTAAGCTGGATCACCCCTTAGTCAATTAGCTAGACGCTCAAGTTGTTCTTGGATCTTAAGTAGAGGCACCATTTAGGCTATCTCTTAATTCCACCCCTCTACTAGTCCTAGTTGAGTCAGAAATCTCCGCCACTAGTTTACTAGTAGAGCTTTAGTGAGTCCATCTACGATCATATCCAAGGATTTAGTATATACCACTTTAATCCGCCCACTAGCAACCTCTTGCCTCAGCCAGTGGTTGTGGATATCCACATGCCGAAGCTTAGTCTAGAGTCTTGAGATCTCCTAGGTAACTAAGCGGATAGTCTATTAATTATCACATTGGATTTTAATAGTTAGGCTTGGTAGCTTGATCTTAAGCTCTTGAATCAATCTTGATGTAAAGATGGCCTCCTTGGCCACTTAGGATAGTGCCAGGAGTTCGGCTTCAGTGGTAGACGTAGTGACTGTGTCTTGCTTACTTGCTCTCCACGCAATAAGCCCATTAAATAGCTTAATAGCGTATCCCTAGGAGCTCTTGCAGTCGATTGTATTGTCAGCAAAGGATGCGTCACTCGCCACTTGCATGGAATTGCCCCCTCCAAGCTGTAATGTCAACTGTCTTGTCTCTTCTAGGTACAGTATCACTCGATCTGCTGCTCTTTGGTGTTCTTGGCTTGGATTGGCCAAGAATCTGGCTAGTCTTGATGTAGCAAATGCGATGTCTGGACGTGTATTAATAGCTGCATAGAGTAGGGATCCAATCTTGCGTTGGTATTTGTGAATCTCCGATGGAGTAGCCAGCCCTTCTCTGGGTTGTAGCTCAGTGCTGGCCATAGGAGTATCATGCCGGATTGTCCGATCCTTAGCCAGTCGGCTGATCTTCTTACAGTAGGCACCTTGGGACAGATAGATTAGTTGCTTTGATCGATCTCTTCTCACTTTAATCCTAAGAAACCACTGTAGATCGTTTCCGCCAGTTATGGAGTATATTCTCTGGAGGTTCTGGATAATCGTCTGGGCCTCTTGGACTTGTTCTTGGTTATAGGCCAGAATGATGTCGTCCACATAGAAGAATATGATAATACTGTCCTTGATTATATAGCAGGGCTCATGGGGCACAACCTGGAACCCTAGTTTGGTGAGCGTAGCTGTGAAATCTCTCTACCATAGGGCCGGTGATATCCTCAGCCTATATAGTGCTTTCTGGAGCTTGAGAATAGTACTGGGCTTCTGGTATCTTTGTGGCATACGCATGTACACCTCCCGATCCAGAGGTGCATGAACAAACGCGTTGGTGATGTCAAACTGTTTCAGTTCAAGGTTATATTTGGCGGCGATAGCCATGAGTAGATGAAAGGATCGTCCGGCTAGAGTGGCAGCGTACGTGTCTTGGGACGTGATGTTGCGCTGCTGATCTCCTCTAACTACCAGTCGTGCCTTACACTTGAGGAACTGGTTGTCTTGATTGAATTTGTAGGTGTATACCCACATGTAGTCTAAGATCTGTTGTCCACTTGCCTTGGCTGCTTTATAAGGTACTTTAATCCAAGATTTAGTAATCTTATAGCTATTAAGATGTAGGCGTTGGGCTTCTTTGAATAGCTCTCCTATTGGATACTCATCAAGATTCGATCTGGCTGTTGGTAGATCAGGTAGTTGGGATTAATGTATCTTGACTCCTTTGGTAAGCAGCCGCTTGAGCTGTGCCTTATCTATCTTATTACCACTATAATCGCCTATGCTTCCGGCTTCTGTTCCAGCCATGAAAGCTGCGGCCCATGGGACTGTCTTTGACGATTGGATCTCTAGAGTAGCTACATCTCCACTCATTAGCTGAGCTAGTAGTGCTACTGGTGGTGGAGTGGTTGGTGGAGTAGGGTAGTGCTCTTAGATCTTTCGTCCCATGTAGTAGCCTAGAGGATCTTCGTTGATCTCTTCGCTTGAGTTGTTGTTGTCGATTGTCTCGTCGTCTTCAAGGAAGGACTCAGTCCCACTGTTCTGGGCTGGTGGAGGAAGCTCAATTGACTTGATATATGTGGCTATCTCTGACACAGTGTTATGCATGAGATTATCTATAAGATCCTTAGTCTTCCCACTAAATATTTCATCCTCGTTGAAGATCACGTCTCTGGTGCTAATCACCTTAGCGAGAGATGGAATCCAGATCCAATAGATATTTGACGCTTGGTATCCGACTAAGTAGCCGATCCACGCCTTGGGATCAAGCCTCTGCAGTCTTAATTTGCCTCGGTGGGTATCATCCATCATTACAAACGCCTTGCACCCATATGCCTTCAAGTGAGCTAGCTTAGGCTTCTTTGGCGATGAGACTATCCCATTTAATTGGGATACATGGGTGAAGAAGACTTCATAGGGTGTCTTCCACTAATTGACGTAGTTTAGCGTTCGGTTATATAGATATGCCGCGGCTCGTGTGACTTCAGGCCAGAGCTCCCATAGTAGGTTTGCGTCTAATCGCATTGCGCGCGACTTCTCCTTATTCACACCCCCTAAGCGTTCAGCGCCACCGTTTTAAGCTTGAGTGTCTGGTGCTGAAGGCTCAACAGCTATGCCTTGGGCTTGAAGCCAGCGCATTACTTCGGGTTTGACGGTCGTGATCTCATTGTCAGTCTCGACGACCTTTAGTGTAATATTGAATTGGTTCTGGAGAAATGTAATGAAGTTTGCCAGGATTTTAATAATTGATTTGGCTGTATGGTTGTCTAATAGATAGAAATCCCACTGGTATCTTGAGTATTTGTCTGTGATTAATATCTATAATTTCTCCTTATTGAATGTTTAAGTCTTATAGCTATGGAAGTCGAGAGAGATCCTCTCTACAGGCCCTTGATTATTGATTCTTGGTGCTCTGCTGATCTGTCGGCGTATCTTGGCTCTTCCACAGGCGTCGCACTCCACTATAGTAATCCCCTTAACTCGCACCCCCTCAGCTTGCTACACTAGGTGCTCAATGGCTGTAGGGCCTGGGTGGCCTAGCCTCTTGTGCCAGAGCAGTGCTGTCGCTCGCTGGGCTGGCTTCTTAGTTTTGGAGGAGTGTCTGTGGGTGTAGAGTGCTTGGATGCCTGGCTGGGCACAGAATCCAGGTGTATGGTCGAGCATCCGGATTCTGTAGGTATCTAGGACCCACTAGTCATAGCGTTCAGCAAGCTCACAGATAGCTATCCCATCAAGTCTTTTCAATGCTGTTGGCTCTGATCTAGTATCCCACCAGATTCCTGATTGTCTGAGTCTTCGGAAGGAAACTAGGTTGCATAGTAGATCTGGGCAGATAGCCACATGCTGTAGCACCAGCCTCTCCATTCTCTGTTGATGTTTGAGGTGAAGGATTATCGTTCTATAGCCCTTGATCCAGATTTGGCTATTGCCTGCCCAGACGAAGTCTCCTTCTGTGGGTGGCTGGTAGTTGTAGACTTTACTTGGATTATTAGTGATATGGCATGTTAAGCCAGAGTCAAGTATAAATGAGTGACGGAGCGGATAATCTGATCGGCTTGTCATGAACGCTGCAGCAAATACTGCCTTGATTTGGGCTACCTATCGTCTATTTAGTTATTGACTATGAAGTTCTGGATTGGGAGTTTGGGATTGCTTAATACTTAGAGTCTTTGTTGCCCTTGGCCGACTTCTTGCTCTTAGGAGACTCTGGAAATCTAGATCATGGTCTAATCGAAGTTCCACTAATCTCAGGATTGCTTAATTTGGCTTCTACCACTTAGGTGCATCCTCTGGGTTAAGATAGAAGCACTGCTAAAGTGAGTGCCTCATATTACAAGCTAGATAGAGGGAACTTTTACGAGCCCCGGCGCTTTCTGGAGACTGTAATCTAGCTCTAGTGCTACTTAGTTTACCACTTATAGCCCCGGCGCTTCCTAGTGATCGGCCAGTGCTACTCAGTTTACTACGCTTAAGATTTTTACGTTTACTTCTTTAGTTACTCTGTTGGGCGTCCCCTTCAGACTAAGAAGCTTCATTTATAAAGTATGATGACTCCTCTATTATAAGGGCTACCTTTTAGCTTCTACCTCTTGTGATTGGATGGCTTATCATTATATTTTGACGAAAGCTTCTAATCATGTTCCTACGGGCTTGATCAGGCCTGTTCTGATGTTGTATCAGCAGCTGAGCTTGCGGCTGCACTTACGGCTGGGCCTACTAGTACACTAGTGGCTGCTACACTGCCTGTTGGGCTGCCTGTTGCATGTGCAGCTGAGCTTACAGCTGGAATTGATGACTGGCTACCCATGATGGGGCAATCTTTTCCACCGCTATATAGAAGTCTTCGGCGACTTCTCTGAACTAGAGGACCTCAGGTACTCTAAGTACTTCAGCTTCTATAATTGCTTGATTATACTCGGTGAGCCAGGTATCCCATGAGGTCACAGCTCGCGGTGACTTAAGTGCATTGCGGTACCGAGTCCTAGCCAGTTTTCTCTTATAGTCTTGTGTGATCCCTGCCTCTGCCTGTAGATTGGTAATCCACTGTCTGACAGATTGATCGGGTGGGCAGCAGGTACGCTGGAGATACTGAGACACTGTAGCTTGTATAAGCGCCACAATATGCTGTAGATTGGCTAATTCTGTCTTATACGCCGCATATCGCACTTTATATTTGTCTATTTGTAGCTTATAGAACTCAAGATCATCCTTGAAGGCTCTCTGCCCTAACGAGGATAGATCTGATATTCTAGCTGGTACATGGCCCTCAGCCAAGGAGGAGGCTGGGGTGAATGTAGATATATCCGGAAGCTCTGGTGCGATTGGTTCGGCCATTGGGGCTACTGCTGAGTCTGGATTGACTTAGTCCCATACTTTGTAGGCGATATAGCGAGCTTGCAGCTAATCGTACCAGGCGCGGTAATCATGCTGGTCGCGGAGGGCGATCGTTGCGTTAATTAGAGCAGATTGGTGGTTCATATTAGTTGGTTTAGTTGAGGCACTAAGACTCTTAATTATTAGATCGTAAGGGGTAGTCAAGGATAGTAGACTGTGATAAATATATGTGATAATAATAGATGGAATTGATAATGTCCTCTTGGAGACGCGCTCGCGCGTCCCCTTAAAGGGGTCTATTTGCTTATTCTAATCTCAGCCACCGCGGCTCCAGCTTGAGTAGGGATTTTTCTTGGCAGCCAGCCTGATTGGCTGTATGCCTGGCCCCTCACTGGGGATTTTGGTATCAAGACAACTATTGCTCTTATCTGACAACATGCTAGTTGATGTAAGGATAGACCTACCTTAATATAGGTATATAAAATATATAAGTACTGCAAATATGCTTCTATTATTCGTGGTTCTTTATCTATTTTACCTCACAAAACCATATCCTCCCTGATCCTACTCCCATGCCTATTAGAGCCCCACGCACGGCTGAGTGTGACGGCCGATATTCAGATGGTATCCACAGTACATTGCTTCCAGCGCGCACAATCCAAACACTATCTGGACTTAGACTGACATTTTGGTACTGTGTTTTTGATGCTGCCATGTCTGTGCTGATCGAAACCTGGAAAGGAGGGATAGCGATGATTCCAATTTCTGTATGGACAGAAGTACTCGTAGAGTCGAAAGATAAATTGAAAAGCGCCCTGTCAACATCAAGAGTGTGTATACACGCCTCGCTGTTCACATCCCAGATCTTTACAGTTCTGTCCCAAGACGCTGATGCTAGCCAGCTCGAGTTGTGTGAAAAGGCCACCGACCTAACCTCTTCGCTATGGCCCTCGAGCGTGTGCAGGCATGTCCCGCTGCTCGCGTCCCAGATCTTGATGGTCCTGTCGTCTGACGCTGACGCTAGCCGATTCGAGTCGTGCGAGAAGGCTACTGAGTTAATAGAACCACTATGGCCCTTGAGTGTGTGTAGACACGTCCCGCTGCTTGCATCCCAGATCTTGATAGTCTTGTCTATAGCCGCTGAAGCTATCCAAGTCGAGTCGTGCGAGAAGGCCGCCGACCTAACCTCTCTGCTATGGCCCTCAAGTGTGTGCAGACACGTCCCACTACTCGCGTCCCAGATCTTTACAGTTCTGTCCCAAGATGCTGAAGCTAGCCAAATCGAGTCGTGCGAGAAGGCTACTAAGCTAATAGAACTACTATGGCCCTTAAGCGTGTGTAGACACGTCCCACTGCTTACGTCCCAGATCTTAATAGTCTTGTCTAAAGACACTGAAGCTAGCCAAGCCGAGTCGTGCGAGAAGGCCGCCGACTTAACCTCTCCGCTATGGCCCTCAAGTGTGTGCAGACACGTCCCACTACTCGCGTCCCAGATCTTTACAGTTCTGTCCCAAGATGCTGAAGCTAGCCAACTCGACTCGTGGGAGAAGGCCACTGACGTGACATCACTGCGATGGCCCTCGATTGCGTGCAGACACATCCCACCGCTCACGTCCCAGATCTTGACAGTTCTGTCCCAAGACACTGACGCTAGCCGGCTCGAGTCGTGCGAGAAGGTCACCCATTCAACAACATCGCTATGGCCCTCAATTGTGTGCAGACACATTCCACTGCTTACGTCCCATATCTTGACAGTCCTGTCATCTGACGCTGACACTAGCCAGGTTGAGTCGTGCGAGAAGGCCACTGACCTGATGTTATCCCTATGGCCTTCGAGTGTGTGCAGACACGTGTCTCTGCTCACGTCCCAGATCTTGATAGTTCTATCATGTGATGCTGACGCTAGCCAGATCGAGTTATTTGAGAAGGCCACTGAGCTAATATTATCGTTATGGCCCTCAAGTGTGTGCAAGCACGTCCTATTGCTTGCATCCCAGATCTTAATAGTCTTGTCTAAAGACGCTGAAGCTAGCCAAGTCGAGTCGTGCGAGAAGACTACTGACCTAACTAAATTACTGTGGCCCTTAAGCGTGTGCAGACACGTCCCGCTGCTTGCGTCCCAGATCTTAATAGTCCTGTCCCAAGACGCTGACGCTAGCCGGCTCGAGTCGTGCGAGAAGGTCACCCACTCAACAACATCGCTATGGCCCTCAATTGTGTGCAGACACATTCCACTGCTTACGTCCCATATCTTGACAGTCCTGTCATCTGACGCTGACACTAGCCAGGTTGAGTCGTGCGAGAAGGCCACCGACCTAACCCTATCGCTATGGCCCTCGAGCGTCTGCAGGCAGGCACTCCAGCCATTGCTTATAGCTGGCTTGATGGCTACTCCCCTTGGCTCTTCGTGCTGGAACAGCTTTCTAGTTATGGTGTCTGCTGGACTGAACAGCAGAGCAGATGCGTACGCTTGTAAGGGATAGTTCTCAATTGCCTCTTTATGATACATAATGAACCTACGTGCGTCGTACACGATCTCGTTCAATATATCCGTGTCTCCAAGTCCCTAGCTACGTTAGCAACCGTATTGCAAAGACTATGTGTGTAGCCACGTAGATTGTACCTGGACTGAATGCCATAGCTTTGTCATTGAGACCAACCCTTTAGCCATACTCTTGCACAAGCTGAGCGCTTCTAGCCAGTAGATATATTTTTGCTCAAGAAATGCGTCTATAGCCCTAGTAATATCTTGATTAGTAGCACTAGGTTTTGAGTCGCAGAAGTGGTCAATCCAGTACACACATGGGTAGCGCGACACGGCTAGAGGATCGGGAAGAAGTGGCTTGACGTCTTCTATACCATATCCAGGCGCTTAAAGGTTGTATATATCTCTGCGCAGTGTCTTGTGCAGAATTACAAGTGATTTCGCGAAAATATCTTGATGCACACAATCTATACCATCTAGAAAGACGTCGTTTAACGCTTTTGTGATAATGAAGTCCTTAGCTGATTGATGTACAAAGTACACCGCATCGTCTCGCAGCGTTAGGAATGATCTGCAGAGACCGATGATCTCCCGCACAGACTCTAGGTCATTGACAAAGTCTGCAAGTTGTTCAGTAAGCACAACTAGCTCAGCGACTGTAACGGGTCGATATAGGACAGCAGTCACTGCTAGCACACGCAGACATATATCCGCGCTATCAGACTCACTTATCTGCTGCAACATCCGCTTGTACAGAGCATCGAGTCCAGGCGGGAACTGGGCCAGCCTCTTAAGCGCGTTCCACTTCGGCGTCACTTTGAGGTCTTGGCACACTAACGCAACCCAGAGGAAGGTGTCGTTCGCGTTCGATATCAAGTGCTGGAGCACCGCGTCTTGCACTTCTAGCGTGTAGCGCTTCTCTTGGGCTAGGCGACACACCTTCTGCTGGATAAACACATCTACTGCTGCAGCCACCGACTCGGCGTTTAACTCAAGGCTGAGCCTCATTTTATGCTCAGTACGCTCTAGTTCTTCCTCAATATCTGGCCAGTTGCGACTAGACACGATCCACTTGACGCGAGAGGACGCAGACGGCTGCTTCGCGATAAAGCTGAGCAACTTTGGTAAGTCTGTCGCGCATTCGTCCAGCGCGTCGACAATTAGGTACGTTGTGCCTAGGCTTGCATCTTGCAGCACGTCGGCGAAGATTTCCGTTAGGGCGACCCAGGCATTCGCGTCCTCGAACAAGCTTTGGCCTGCGTAGTCGTGCTTCCTGCGAACGTGCGATGCAAGCGACGGCTGACGGTGCACGAGCATGTACAGCAAGCCTCGCAGCACAGCTGTGGCACTATTAATGCGCGTGTCGGTCGCTTGGAAGAAAAAGTATGAAAAAAGGGTAGGTTTCAGCGTCAAGTTTTGCAGTTCGTCGATAATGCCACACAGCAGCATCGTCTTGCCTTTGCCAGGATCCCCCTTCACCCACAACAGTCGGCTGTCCGGGTCTTGCTGCCACTGCCGGAAGGTATTGTTGTCAAGGACCCAGCGGTAAGCGCCCGCAAGCAGCCCGCCTTTAGTCTCTTCGATCCGCTTCTTGTCATCGCGCGGGTTACTAGGACATAAGTCTTGGAGGCACTTGTTCTGCTTGTCAACCTCGTCTAGAACCCGCTTCATTGCTTCAGCTAGATTCTCGCCATCGATTGGGGACAAGCTAACGCCAAGAATACCCATCAAGGAATATGCACGGTCCGCTAGAATCGTTGTAGTGCGATGTTCAATCCAGGTAACGCGTTCATGAACACTAAAGTAAGACAACGGTTCGCCCTGTAGCGCTCGACTAGGGATGCCCGTTACTTCACGCACTTCTTCTGCTAGCAATAACTTATCACCAAGCTTAGTCCCTTCTCGAGAAAAGAACTCTACTATAGACGGTGCGAGAAGCTCCTGCAGCGTCCATCCACGGGTAAACCATCTGCTGTTTTTGAGCGCAAGCTCAGCCTTCTGCTCATTTCGTACAGGATCGCTACCGACCGAAGTGCATGGAACGTTGCGCGAATAGAAGTAGCGCTGTATCGTGCTGCCGTACCATCTTGACATACTATAGAAAATAGAGAGCATCCAGATCCACAAAAGCCATCGTGAATCGTGGTCGCCTGACGTCACTGGTAGAGGTTGATCAGAGACGTCCGATAGATATACATAACACCGAGCTGCATCGCGGTACCAGCGAAACATCGATCGGATGGAGAAGGCAAGTTCAGCCTTGTTGGCTTTGTCGATGCAGCACGTGTCGATCCAGAAGTACTGGAGGCTGTCGCGCCGTGCCTGTTCTCCGCAGAAGATAATCTTCTTATAGCCCGGCTTTGTCTTGCCGCCGCCTGTCTGGAGGTCTGCAAAGGTCACCTCGTCGCCATCTGCGCCCCATGTGTGTGAGAGTATCGCGTAGGGAGGGATGTCGCCATCGTCGAAGCTGTGGATGCTGAGCTCTCCGCTCTCGCTGTACTGTAAGAGCCGCATAGATTCGTGTGGGTGTATAGTAGGTATATGCGATGAGAGTAGGACTCGAAAGGTTGAATTTAGTAGCCTAGTCGCGCGGGCGCTTGTTGCTTGTTAGCTGCTTTCCTGCTGGATACCGATGGACGGTCAGCATACAGAGAGAATGACGAGCAGGTGCACCAGCTAAGGTACTAGCAGGATCCTGTGATGCGTCAAGATGTCGCGAGCTGAGACTACCGGCTCTCGCTGTGTTATTGACTTGGTGCTGAAGCCTGTATGAAGCCCCAGGCGGGGTATGTAAGGCGTGCTATGCATGCGTCGTGCATTGCTCGCAAGGCTAAAGCGCGTCTGCATCGAAAGCTGCGGAGGATATGAGGCGTCTAAGCACCGACGCGCTCAAAGCTTGCCCGTTCTGATGCAGGACAAATGAGAGAGCAGTCACGCAGATACAACACTTATGAATAACATCTAGGTTTGAATTTAACTCAAAATAACCTTTCTATCCAGCCTGCGCAACGCCGCGAAATCCCGTCGTACAGAGCTAGAGAAAGTGGTTTAGTACATCCTGGCTACAGGTGCTCTCCATGCAGATACCGGCGCATGCGTTAGCTCAGGCGCATCGATCCGCTGCGCTACTGTAGGCTTTGGCGACGGCAGGACTGTTGATCCTTCTAGCGCGTCGCTCTTGCGCTTACGCCCGCGCTTCGGCTTGCCTGCTAAAGCTTGCTCCTTCGCAGCACGCTTTGCTCTAGCCTCTTCGAGGTCTTGGAAACTCATCACCTTAGCCTTGCCTAGAACTACTGACTTTGTCGACCGGCGGGTTTTGGCTTCTCGATTGATCTGAAGGAGGAAATGATTGCGATCTTTAAGGAGGGCCTGCTCAGCGAAGGATACCTTAGCCGCGCTTGCCAGTTTCTGTATGCGTCTCTGTAGACGGTCTTTGCTCGTCTTTTCAAGCACGTGTGTGTCCTTTGTAATTAGATTATGCAGCGATGTAAGCGCTTCTGTTGTCACTGGTGTTACTGGCGTGGTAGGCGTACGGGGCATATCGTCCGACACATCAGCACTCGCAGTCTCGGTTCCTGGATTTGATATGTTGCTTACTTCCGCTGGAGGTTTAGGGACATCTCTGAGCACTCGTTCCGGGTTGAAAGGGAACAGGCCAGTTGCAGACCACCCAGCTCTGATGTTCCTTTTAGTTAGTGTGCGATCTCTTGCAGGGTTATAGAGATAAGTGAAATGCTCTTTGCCGACAATGTCTACGCCTCCTTGGTTGAGTCGCTCGACTTGTTCACGATACGCACTCTTCAAGGGTGCAAAAGGGCCAACATCGCATGGCTGTAGCTTGTGAGAGGTGTGAGAAGGCAGACGACATAAGATGATGTTGTTAGTAAAGCAGAACTCTAGGATTTCGAGCGTTTCATGAGTCCCAAAGCCATCACAGATTAGCACTCGTGGGTTTCCACCTGCTCCCTCACGTGTCTGGGGGTCAAACACGCGCTTGAGCCACTCCAAGCTAATCTTAGAGTCGTTGTACCCATTCTCTGAGTGCGCATAGTGCCATCCAGGGGTGCTGTGGGTGGTCCAGTTACTGCGATGGGTCGAAGCTGGCCATATGATAAGTGGCAGGAGGGCCCTTCCGTCAGCACTGATGCACTCAATAGCAGTAACCATAGTGCGCTTGACACCCGCACCCCTACTACCTTGCCGATTGTCCTTGCCGACTAAGACTTTTGCGGAGCCAAGCATGCTTAGCATGACTCCAGTTTCGTCCATATTATACACGTTTTCTGGCAGTACGCATGGATCCTGTAGTACCTGGCCAATCACATCGAACCACTCTACTATCTTCTCGTATATATTGTTTCCGTGACGCTTCCAGTCTATCGATCTGACCCGTCTCGCCTGGAGTTCGGGGTGACGCTTCTCGAACGCTCGTGGCCAGTTCTTCCCTGGACGCTTGATCGACTCGCTCTTCGTGGACCGCTGGTGGGCTATGCTGAACGCTAGCGAGCGAAGGTACTTAACGCGCACAGGTTGTCCGAGACTAGACATCAGTAGCAGAAACTTCACAAGGGCCTTCTCCTCCTCTCGAGTCAAGTACTGCTGACTCTGAGCCTGCTCTGCTCGCGAGCGTCGTCCAAGCCTACGGTGGATCAGAGTTGAGACAGGGACATCGCCGTGCTCTGATCGAGCAGCACATGTATCACGCACACCCTCAGGCAGACGTTGCGCGAGCGCCTGGCTGGCTGGATCCATGTTCGTGGTTGTGGTGACTGAGGGATACCTCGAGCGAGAAGCCAACCGAATCCACCACCGGTCTGCTTCTAAGAATAGCTAGCAACACGCAGCACCCGATAGAAGCTTCTAGAACTCTGCGCCACAGCTTCAGCCCTTTTGGCATAGCGCAGGTGTACATCGTAGGCCGCTAAACGTTCGCAATCCAGCTGTGCCAGCGTTTTAAATCCTTTCGCTAATGCGAAGGACTGGCACACCGAGCCGGAAAAACTCGGAGCGCATCTGAACAGAGGCTGCATATCTTTATAGTATGGCTAAAGATTATTTATATTACCCCAAGTTATGCATAATCTCCGAGTAGGTAAGTAGAGCTTTAGTAAGAGGTGGGACAGGGGTGTTTTGGCGTTGCACCTTCCCACGCTTAACACGAAAAACTCACGTATGCCCCTTAGATTGCTGTAATTTTACTATTTAAGGGTTGCAATAGACAGAGGTAGATCTAGCAAGCATACAAATGTGTATTTATGTCTAAGAGCCTCTGCGGCTTGGGCGTAGGGTGCTTGGGCAGTGTTGGTGGTTCGTTGCGGAGGGATGTTCGACCCACAGGGATGGACGTTACGTTAGTACTGCTCTAGGCCGCTTCGCCACCCGACGTGAATATAGCGCCGATGCGGTTACAAGTTTGGCTCTTGAAGCCAATGCTATCTCTATAATTAGAGCTAAAAGGAGGAGGGCATTAGACTAACTAGCAACAGTATTGCCAAGATGCTCTATCTAATTACCTCTTCTGTCTTCTCCTTCTTGTTCTCAAAACATCGATTTAACATCGATACCTAATTACTTAAAGCGATCTCTTAGTCAGCTATTATATAACCTCGACATCTTCAATAAGCACTAAAGCACAACCGTTTAGAAACGTCCTCCGTCTAATTACCTAGCGTTACTTGCTTGAGTCATCTGATAAGGCCAGAACCTTCCCAATCCTACTCCCATGCCTACTTGGGTCTCACTCACGGCCGAGTTTGACCACTGCGCTGCGCTCATTATACGTCGTGCGTCATTTGTTGAGTTTAACTAGTAGGATAGTTAATCAACTTGCCTAAGGAATATCCTAGGAGTAACTAGAGTGTTTGCTTAGTGGAGGCGAGCAACCATTGGGTTGACAGAAGAACAAAGGATACATATTGCACGCGTACTTGCTGACTATTGCTCTCTGGTTGCAACAAACAACCTCACCTTCTTCAATCTCGGGAGTCTGGCAACAGAAGGCGCATCTCTCCAAATCCCCATTCCTCCAGATGCTGTTGAATAAACTCAATACAACATAAGAACGTCTGCTTTCCACCATGACATGCCCCGCTTTCTAAATGCTGAGCTAATCCACTAAGAGTTGTGAATTGCTTTCTTCTTCCTTGCTTTATTTCGGACCTGCCGAGGCCAAATGAAAGAACGTTACTCGGACAGAGGTAAACCTTGTCGCAGTGTACTGGAGAGATCATATGCTGTTGAAGAGCCTGCATTGTACCAAAGGATTTGCGCTTCTTTGGACAAAGTGGACAACGGAGTTCAGACCCGATCTTGTCGACCACGTATCTCCTTCCCAGCGAAAGAAGGCTATCCTCAAGCGGCGACCAATCTACCAAACTCCCCTCTAGACTACCCTGAGAGTGTATAGGTGTGACCAATGACCATCCATCTGAACTGTCGTGAGACGTAATTGACCTTCCGGGATACGGAGGTAGATAATTCGTCGAAAAGTAGGTAGCGCTCGAAGGTGTAGGTGTTGGGAGGGTATGGATTGTACAATCCTTGTCGTACAGTTGAATCATGTCGTAGATATCATCTCGATCCATGCCTGAACAGCACTTTCCGCTTTCCAGATGGTGCAGCAGAGCCGACGGCGCACTGAACTTTCCTTTGCATCCATCTCCTACAGGGCAACTTAGAGCGCTAAATGGCTTGTGCTTTATCGACTCACAATGCTGTTGGAGAGACTGGAGAGACGGAAACATCCGCCGACATATTTTGCATGCTTGATTATCTGCCATCACTGCATTGGCTGTTTGAGTCTTTCTTGCACTGCTATAGGGCTTCTGCTGGAGAGGCTTTCGATGCGCACGGCTCGCCATGTGTGCGTTTAGGGCATGGATATCTTTGAAGGAGATGTCACAGTTGCAACACCGGTACTCTGAAGCATGGAGCTCTGCCTTGCAGTGACTTTTCCAAGCACTCTGGCTTTCGAAGGGAAGGTCGCATTCCGAACAGAAACAGTGCCCCGTGGTAATGCGGTGGTCTTCAAGGATGTCTAGGCGCTCGCAGAGCTTGCCACAACAGCCACATTTGCGAGTGATATAGTCGTACTGAACCAATAGAGGATGCCTGCAACTACTAGTGCAGACGTGTGAGGGAAAGTGCCCTCGCGCTCTCCGATGTTCGTCTAGATCAATCGCATACGTATAGGTGCGGCCACAGAAACACTGAAGAAGATTGGCTGAGTGGAGGGTCATTTGGACGATTAGCTCGATGGCAGGCGTATCGTTTGTAGTGAGGTAGCAAAGGCAGTGGATGACAAGGAGTTGAACTAGAGGAACTACATGTACATAGATTACTTATTGTTTACTACCCTGAAATGCACAGTCCACATATCGTATGTACAGTATGATACTGCGCTATGGTTTTTCCCCAAAACTACCTGGCAGAAGCCTCGCTTAAGCAGGTCATCCATGAAGTAATATTACCGGGAAGCTAATAACAAGTGGCGTTCCTGAAGGCGACCTACCCTATGTAGTAGTAGCGCTGACTATACTACCCCATACGTACTGACGTCCAAGGTAAGCAGCCATTTCAAGCGTTGCATTAGCCGTCTTATTCGTACAAAACCACTTGGGTAGGCCCACAAGTAGTGCATTTGTGCGAATATCCCAATAGAATCTCTAGCCATGCTAACACATATTAACTATTGTGGCAACGTCGCACCGGTTGTTGTCGTGCGGTTTAGCGCTGACTTTGTGAATATAGAAGGACACTAAGATAGATCAGATGACCACAGGTGGTTTACGGTACAGTCGTTAGCGATCGAGGCTTCACCCTTACACGCAGCTGCGCAGCGGTTTCGAACAGCCCCACCTCCCGTACAGAGCTTAGCGTGAGAAGTCAGCTACAGAACAACCAATACGATTGATCAATCCTCAATTTTATGATGACTTGACTTTTGGAATGCTGCTTGCGGAGGTGAGGCCGCAATCGTTAATGACTGTTCGTTTTGTGCTTGAGTTGCCTTGTGCGAATATGTATTATAACGCTAACGGTCACACTCTAGGCTTAGATTGTGGTTGACGAGCTTGGGCGTGGTCACTGCGTTGAGTTTGGTAGCAATATGTTTTCAACATAATACATAAGCTATGGCGGATTTTTTTTAGATCATTATAGATGGTGAAGAGTCGTAATGTTGTGTAGAGCAAGGAAATAAGCACCTGTGCCCCCATGACATGCTAGGGATAACCAGGCGAATGGAAAATGTGAGACTAGACTTCAGCATGCCTAGTTAGTTCAGAGCTTTTAGAAAAGAGCCAAAATTGGCTGGCGTTCATGGTACTGAATGAGTGAATATAAATTGCAAGCTAGATGCACACCAAACCTTCCGCCGTAGTCACTACTATCCTTTCGTAACTAGCATACTTTGCAATCTTCGAAAATTATCATAATGTACTGGAAAACTGTTTCAGTACCCGCCTGCATATTTCTCAGCCTTGTTCCTGGGCTGGCCTTTGGAGCTTCTAAAACGCGCTTCCGTCGTCAAGATGGTAGCGCCCTAGGGCTTCTGCATGATTTCTGCACCAATTTCGAGATCAAAGGGAGCAAGCTAACGGCCTTATGCGTGGCGAGCGTAGGGGTGCCCAGTGAGGCCAGCATCGATCTGAACAAGTGTCTTAGCAATGATGATGGACAGCTACAATTCGAAAGGTGATTACCGCTGCTTCTCATGCTATCAAACTCTCATACTCAGACGTAGGCAGAGACGGCAATGCTTTTCTTACCTGCACTCAGTGTACTCTAGAAGTGCTCAATCTTACCTGCACTTGCATTGAGGACAAGGGCCCTGCATCCAAGTCTCAAGAAACTAGGATCAGTCTTGGTGAGCGGTACGAGAGTGCTGATAGCCTGGTATGCTGACGACAAAAAGAAGATATGCTTTTTGCGACGACTGATGGGCAGATCGCCTGTTAGTGAATTCCCAATGAAGACATCACCATTATAAACCATATGAAAGCAAAATGTGCGAGAAACATATAATTAGAAGGTAGGAGAAGAATTAATTAGTTACTCACTAAATACAGTACTAGGCGTTGCAAGTTAGTAACTTCAGTTAGTAAGATAAAGTTAGTAGTTAGTTAGCTCTCTTCAAGAGTACAATTTTCTTGGTCACAGTGATTAAGTTAGCCATCGCAGCTTGGTCCCTGTCTATGGCTACAACTCTATTGTGTTAATCTCCTCTGTATTCAACTTGGACGTCGATCATGTTGTATTGAGATCCCCTTAGACGATCGTACCCGCGCTAAGGCAAACCACTCGGATTGCTCCATATCAAGGACCAATAACTAACGTCCATCCCTGCGTGCCGGGACGCACGGTGTAACGATGTTACAGCCTCGCCAAGTATCGGACCAATCCCAGAAGCCGGATCAGAGGAAGTATCGGCCGCCCCTTCATCAGCTACTCGTTCTTAGTCGGATCCGATTCGGACCCGACTAGGACAGGTATATATTGAGACACTCCTTGTAGCTAGCTCTGTAGACTTTTGATATCCTTTCGTACAAGGCCTATAGGTGTCTATTCGAATCAAGGCTCGTTTGATGTCCCACGCACTCCCATATGCCTCTGAGTGACACTACCGCCGGTACTGATCCGAGTAGTCTTGCCTGCGCCGTTACATTATATCAAAAGTCTCGTCCCAGCCGGTGACGGCTACAAAACAATATCGCAGCTGTTTGTTGAAGACCACGTCAATTTCCCAAGATCCGGAGTCGACCCGGACTTACACCGTTACGTCCTACATTCACCTAGGCAGGATCCCATCGATCTCCTG